AAAAAGTGTTCTCGCAGGACTCCCAGAGTTTATTAAGACTCTTTGGATTAATCTTCAATGCCATCTTAACCCCAGACACGCTCAATATTGTTCATGTCTGGTGAATGGGCTGGCCAATCCTGGAGCACCTTGACCTTCTTTGCTTTTAGGAACTTTGATGTAGAGTCTAAAGTATGAGGAGCGCTATCCTGCTGAAGAATTTGCCTTTTCCTATGGTTTGTAATGTAATAGGCAGCACAAATGTCTCTACCTCAGGCTGTGGATGTTGCCATCCACTCTGCAGATATCTTGCACGCCCCCATACTGAATGTAACCCCAAACCATGATTTTTCCTTCACCAAACTAACGCAGTATTTGTGATGATTGGGATGCAGTTCAACAGATGATTCATCACTAAAAATCTACCTTCTGACACTTTTCCAAATGATCAAACCTAGAAGTCAAGTTATTATTTGTTGCTCTTACAACTGGGATCCACGACAAGACTTTAGTCAGGCTATTTTATATATTCATAAGATTCTGTAACCATGAAACGAGCAGCTTTCAGACGCTTTCTATTTGTAAAAAGTAGCTTGCATATAAGATAAGGTTGAAGAAACCTCTTGTAATTTGAGGATTCAACCACTTCGGTCTAGTCAATTCTTGTTTCGGTGGCAGATTCTAGACATCAGCCCTGTCTTGTATGTTGTGTTTTGTTTTATTTGCATTTGGGTCCTTGCCTTCTCTCCTTCATTCTTGGTTTAATTGCAGGAAAAAAAAAAGTGTGTTAAAAAAAGAATCTGAAATATTTTAGGTCATACTTAATAAATAAAGATGATTTAGTATTTAAAATGTTTTATTTTGATTATTTTTTATTGATTATCTTTTAAATAAATTGGTCTAGCACTTCATATTCTCAGATTTTTCATAGTATGTGTATTAACTCTGCTACTTTTACCATAAACCAACATATCTTCCACTTGGTAGAGGCTGATATTTTATAAATTTCGGGATGTGTTGAAAAAAAGGCATTGAGTGTGTTAACTTGCGACATTAGGAGTTAAGAAATGATGCAATCCAAAACATTTTTTTCTTGGCTGGGCAGTTAAGGGGTTAAATCAAATTTAATTTGAAAAATCAAGTACCATTATAAACCTTTATACCAAGTACCTTTATAAATAGAATAAATTAAGACATTTCTGAATTGTTCCAGTTAAATACAAGGCATTGAAGAGGTGCTTTTTTCCCCAACTCCCACATGGTATGCCAGATGAGTCAAAAGGTGCAAGTATGCAATTAATTAAACATGTTTAACGTGTTAACACATTTACTCACTGTGACATTACGTGAGACCAATACAGAACACTGTAGCATAAATTAACACCACTGGTGTCAATTAAACAAATTGTCAAACCAAATAATTAAACACAGGTCTATTTTTGCTTTCTTGAAATAGAGGGCATTCATGTATTATTTGCAGAATTATTTATATTATTTGGGGTATCATTACCCCACACACACACAAAATAATAACACTCCATGCCATGAACAGTATAAAAGGACACACTGACAAAGTATTACTTCACAACACTAGCCAACAAATAAAATACTGTAATTATTCATTATGTACATTAGATGTGAGTGGTGTAAATTAACGCATATTGAACTGGAATAGCTCGGCTTTAAGTTATACCATGATCTGTCTAAATGCTTGATTCTGATTGGCTGCAATGTAAGCAATACAACGGTTTAATGTTGACTGTTCGTTAAGAGGAAAGTGCAGATTCAGCAAAGTAATAACTTTCATTGGTAAAACTACTTTAATGTGTCCTTTTTAAATGTACTGTACTTGTTGTTCTAATTAAAACATTTACCCATTCAACTAACCCTAAACCTAGCACACACTCTAACCCTAACCATGTAGTAATTAGGGATGTAACGATTATTGAGTTTAACTCCATAGTTAACTAAATACCTTTGATTTTGAAGGGCTACATTACACTACTTAGCAAGGAGGAGGTAAAACTCAGTGTTTTTGAAATAAAATAGGGCCGAGTCTGTGCGCCTAAAAAACTGCTACAAACGCGTTAATCTCAATCATAGTCTCTGCTTGACCTACATTAATCACAAACTAAAAACGGTAAACTTTAACTGTAAATATGCAGCATTTAATGAAAGACATGCACAACAGTCTAGTTTCAGAAAACAGATCTTGTAGTTTTATTATTGTATTATTCTAATCAGTTATTATTTTTAATTATTATCCAGTCAAGTGTTGACCACTTGGTGACTTTGTCGCTACAGTAAGCGACTTTTCAGACCCCCTTGGTAACAATTTTTCAAAAAAGCGACTAGCGACAAATCTAGTGACTTTTTTGTTCATTACGATTTTTATAGACTCTCATGTGTCTGTACTGTACCATCCCTACTCTTCTGAATGAGCTGCAGGTGACACCGTCAGCCCCTCCCCTGCCGCAGAGCACTGACAGGCGGCCCAGTCCTCAAACACCAGTCTCTCCCACCTGCAGCCCGAGAGCAGATCACTCCACTGCGTACCAACGGCAAATGATTTAGCACCAGCAGTGTGAAGGGTTTCCATTATACAGTCAAACCGATCTGCTTCTCCTTTATTTTAACAATTTAATTTGACCGTTTACTCTTTTCTTGTTCACAATCACAGATATTTAAGTGATAGTTTTGGAACTTGTCTGAGTTTATTACAACTGAGAGATTACTGCAAATTCACTACACATTTATATTGATATAGTGTATTTAAAAAGCATAACATTTTGTTAAATTGAAATTTTAACAAAAAGCTTTTAAAGCATCGTGCAAATATAAGTAGTCCTTTATTAATCATTCTCATATTTTTAATCATCAAGTGTTTCATTATTTAATTTTTTAAAAACCACCTAAATTCTCCTAGAACTTGTTGCCGATCCATATCAATCACACATGAAAAAAGGTTTATTAAAGTCAAACAATAGCTTTTGTGTGCTTTACAAATCTTCAGTTTTTATTTATCTGAAATGTTGCTGCGGTAATGAGAGTTCAAGATTGATTCATCCTGAACACGTGATTCAAGTCAATCATAAATGAATCATTTCTTTTATTTAACGAAACCAGAGTGAATGGTCTACATACTGAACAGATCTGCAATGTGTCCCCTTAAAGAATCGTTACAGAGCTATGCTAGCTAATTACATTGAACTGTAATGACATTATCTTGCTTCTTTGGCCGTCAATTTAGACTCAGCGTTTCTTTTGTGCCAATTTCTTCCTTGTCAATTTTAAATCACGTTGACTGCTTCTCCATAGAGAGGATTATTAGTGAAGTAAATCGCTTAAAGTACAGTCCATTCATTGAACTGAACAATTATATAAATTAGAGAACTGCTTCAGTTGTTTTTGTTTCTTTTATGATATATTTGGTGCGTTTCGAAGCTTGGAATCACATTTATTTGTCTTATATACGGTTAGTAACAATATAAATACATTTTTATCCTAGTAATTATATTAATTAGGGGTGTCAAAATTAATTGTTTCTTCGGTGCACCGCGATGCAGACGCGGACAATAAGGTATCTGTTCAGTAATAATCATAAACGGTTATTATGTACTGACGTCATTTATCTCCTGTGCGCTCTGTCGCGAGGGAGGTGAACCCGATTAGTATTTACAACACTCAGCCAACTCAGGGCCGGCCCGTGGCATAGGCACCAAAGGCAAATGCTAAGGGTGCTGTATATCCAGGGGGGCGCCAGAAAGGAACGCGGTTCAGTTGGTTTTGTTTTCAAAATTCTTGACACACATTCAGTTATAGACGGCAATAACTCAAAAACCTCTTACCCTAAAAAGATCTAAAGTGTGTTTCCAACAAAAAGACAAAGCTGGTTATGTTTCACAGCTGTCTTTTTATTTTTTCGCTGGATATTACGACCACTGCTCCGTTTAAGCCCTCGCAATATTTGCTTAGCCGGGAGAGTTCGCGCTGAGAGGAGCTCTCAGCAAGGGACCGTCGGAAAAGTGCTTCTTTTTTTTTTTTTTCTTCGTTTTTCTGCTCCGCTCAGCGCGAGCTCTCCCTGTTGCGAGGGCTTAAGTGTGTGCGTGTGTGTGTGTGCGTGTGTTTGTTTCTTTGGTGCTGTCTATGTTTGTGTATGTGTTTGAATGAGAGACAGTGTACATGACAGGGTACTGTGTGTTTATACAGACAGCTTGTTATAGCCTCCCCCTAAAATATAACACTGTATTGGAAAGCATCGTCAATGCACCATGATATCGAATTGAACTGAATCGAAGGCATGATAATCGTAACCGAACCGAACCGTGAGACCAGTATAGGTTCACACCTCTAATATTAATACATTACATATTAATCTTTAAAGCTTGTATTCTGTAATCTGTAGTGAAATACATTTTTAAAGTAGCCTACCCAGCGCTGACCAGAACATTAATCAACATGGTTAAAAATAAAAGGCAGCACTGCGTGAACTAGTGTTAGGTCATTTAGCTGGACCAGTCATTTACATGTGCATTAAACAGTGCTGTGAAATGCAATTAGAAGAGCTCACGGGTAGACACAGACATGAACAGCAAATTAAATGAATTATGTCATTTTCCACATCACTAATGCAGAAAAAAAATCAAATGCTGCACAACAAGGGTCAGCATAGAAGGCTTTTCGTCAATGTTTATCATTACTGTAGCAACCATTGGCAGAAATGTGGGATATTCGTATGAAATTTTATTATATTATTTATAACATTTATATAAATACCATTACTTTGCTAATCAAGGTGATAGATGTTTTTAGGTTTTTGTTTTTATAACAAATTAAAAAAAAAAGTATAAAGCAAAAAAAAAAACTGATATAAACATGTAAAGCTTGCAGTCCGTCAGTTCTGCTTAACTAGGTAAATTATAAACATTGTTAAAATGTGAGCAAAATAACCGAGGATGTTGTTAACTATGCATTTAGAATGACCCGGGGTTAGCCATTTAAAAAACAAAAAGTGTACTAACTTCCTATTTTCAATGGCAGAGACGAAGGAAGTCTGGAAGTGTCCGGTGGTGAGCAGATCTGGCGTGGTGTGACCCTGGAAGAGCAGCCCATCTTTGGCCATCTTCACCAGGATGAGTCTGACCAGCTCGCCCATGTACATCCCACTAATCATCTTCTCGAATCTGCAGGAAAACAAATTGTGCTGATGAGGATTATGAACGATGTGAGTCCACCGTTACAGGTCATCTCAAGGTCGCTGATGCCATACTGGGACAACCCCCCATACTAAAGAGATCTCCAATCACCATTATTAACAGTTAACCCCGGGTGGCTTTGGCGGTGCATTCACACAAGTGATGATGACTAATTTTTTTTGAAACTCTTTAAAAAGACATGTCCTTGAAAGTAATTGATAAAAAAGGAGATTTTATCTCAGCTGTATGCCTGGCGGCAAGGGTGAGAAAAAAAATGAAATGACTTTTTACTTGATTTCGACTATGATTTTCACTTTGCGACTGGTTATAAGATGATTCCAGTTCAAAGCGGAACACTGCCAAGATACGCTTCTATTTAAGATATAACAAACAGCTTTTTTGTTTTGCAAACACAAACACATTTTATGCATTATGGTAACTGACATTCTAGAATATAACCAATTATTTTTTTATGCTACTGTAGACCTACACTATAATAAGTTTGAGCACATAAAAATGTTATCAAACGAAATATTTCATGCAATTTTTGCTCATGTGCAGGGTCAGACAGAATTTGCTGACTTTCAACATTTTTCAAACACTCTTCAAAAGTTTTTCTTTCTCAAAATTGTGTACAAATCGGCAGATTTATGCAGAATGATTTGGAGAGTACAACACTAAAAACTTAATATGTGAAATTAAACAAATGCATTTTTTTAACTTTCATAAGGTTTACAATGCAAATCCAATTAGAACCACTTGTGTGGCATAGTATGTCTCTTATATAATACATCTACTAAACTATAGAAAACATAACTTTGCAAACTGCATTGTACATAAATTGCATAAACATTTACATATACAAAATTACTGATATAAATATGAAAACTAAAATATATTTGTACATATATGTACATTTTTGTACATATTTGACTCGATGTGCTAAAGACAGATTAGTCTAAAAAATAATACGTTTACAAAATATAATACATCCACAACACAATTTAGTTATAATGTCCAACTTGTACTCCCAAAACACAATTCATAAATACACAAATATAATTTGTAAGTTCAAAAGACGATTCAAAACATACAAATCCAATTCAGAAAATAAAAGGATTAAAAAATACAAAAATCCAATTCACAAATTCAAAAAGATAATTCAGAAATAAACATATTCAGTTTATGAAATCAAATGGTGAATCCAAAATTTACAAATCCAATTTGTAAATTTAAAAGACGATTTAAAAATACACAAATCTAATTTAAAAATAAAAAGATAATTAAAAAGTATACAAATTCAATTTGCAAATTCACAAGATGATTAAAAAATGCACAAATCCAATTTGCAAATTAAAAAAGATTATTCAGAAATATGCATATCCAATTCATAAATTCAAAAGACGATTAAAAAATGCACAAATCCAATTCAAAAAAAGATATTAAACAAATATGTAAATCCAATCCGCAAACTCAAAAAGACAATTCAGAAATACACAATTCAAATTCACAATTTTAAAAAGACTATTCCAAAATTCACATATCCAATTCATAAATTCAAAAATATTAAAAATGCACAAATCCAATTCACAAATTCAAAAATACACAAACCTAATTCCTAAATTCAAAAGATGATTAAAAAAATCTAATTTGTGAATTCAAAAAGACGATTCAGAAATGCACACACATAATTAGTAAATTCAAGACAATTCAAATATACACAAATCTAATTCATAAGTTCAAAAGACGATACAAATATACACAAATTCAATTCGTAAATTTAAATGGCTATTCAAAAATGCAAAAATCCAATTAGTAAATTCAAAAGACGATTGCAAAATTCACAAATCCAGTTTGTAAATTTAAAAGATGATTCAAAAATACATACAAATCCAACTCGTAAATTTTTAAAAAAAGATTCAAAAATGCACAAACCTAAATTGCAAATTCAAAAGGCGATTAAAAAATTCCAAAAATTAAATTTGCGATTTCAAAAGATGATTCAGAAATACATACTCTTCGTAAATTCAAAAGATTCAAAACTGCACATATCCAATTCGCAAATTTAAACGACGATTAAAAAAAATACACAAATGCAATTCATAGATTCAACAGACGACTCAAAAATACACAAACCTAATTTATAAATTCAAAAGACGACTAAAAAACCAAATTAGTGAATTCAAAAAGCGATTCAGAAATGCACACGTCCAATTCGTAAATTCAAAAAGACGATTCAAATATACACAAATCCAATTCTTAAATTTATAAGACGATTCAAAAATGCAAAAATCCAATTCGTAAATTTAAAAGATGATTGCAAAATTCACAATTCCAATTTGTAAATTTAAAAGATGATTAAAAAAAAACACTCAAATCCAACTCAAACAAAAAAAATTTTATACAAATTTTAAAATACACAAAATTAGCAAATTCAAAAGATGATTAAAAAATACACAAATTTGCGATTTCAAAAAGACGATTCAGAAATAAATATCCAATTCATAAATTCAAAAGACAATTCAAAAACGCACAAATCTAATTTGTAATTTCAAAAACTAATTATTAAAAAATACACAAATCCAAGTCATAAATTTAAAAGATGATTCAAAAATACACAAATCTAGTTCGCAAATTCAAAAAGACGATTCAGAAATAAACATATCCAGCTAACAAATTCAAAGGATGATTCAAAAGTAAACATGCAACCCGTAAATTCAAAAGATGATTCAAAAATATTTGGCAAAAATAATTTATTTTTAATTGTGAATTCACAAATTGTGTGTTGTATTTATGAAGTATATTTTGAATTTACAAACTGGATTTTGGGAAATGTGGATTGTGCTGTGCATGTTTAAATTTTATTTTAGAAATGTATCATTTCTGAGACTGATCTGGCTCCATAGAAAACTGTCTCTACAAAGATCCAAAAAAAAAAAAAAAGAAAAAAGAGAAAAAACTCCCTGGAAACAATTGCCATGGTGTGAAAACAGAACCTTAGTAGAAAAGTTCACTTCTGACCCTGACAGGATGCTTTCTCTACAAGGTTTGTAGAAGTCAGATATAAAAGAAAAAAAACACCAATTATATTTTTCTAGAAATAAACCACAAACAGCAAGCCAGCTTCATATGGTGCTCCACAGAACCAGTGAAAAAAAAACGTCTTTTTCCACAGGGCAGTTAAAACTCTCAACCATGGGAATGTGAAGATGTTTACAGTACTCAATCTCAAAATCTAGTCTCAACATTCAATGTTCCCTTAAGAGAGCAGAGTATCCAGAAGAACAATAGCACTGGCTTTCAACCTTAAAGAAATGCCATATTACTATATAACCTCAGTGAACAACGAGAAATTACATTAAGTCAACTTGAGACCAAAAAACGAAGGTCTCACTAAAGATTATTGTGCGTTACACAATTAGAGATTCGATTTGCAATCAAAGAAGCTTCAAAATCAATGAAGCAAAGTTCAATTTTCTGTTGAGAAAAAGAAGCTCTGCAAAGACAATAGTGCATATGTAGGAGCAAATCAAATCAGGAAATCAATTGCTGGACTCCATCAATGAAAGCCATTGGAGAGCTCAGCCACAGGCACTCATAGCATCATGGTATTTGATTTCAGATCTGCATCCCTTAAGCTCTTAAATTGCTGCTTCTTAACAATGATATGAAACCACCTGTGGAGCCGCGACACTATGGGTTAAGAACAGCAGCTTTAAAACTTCCGAGACCCAGGAGATCTGATGGGAAAGCAAGCTAATGCATTGTTAATGATGGTGTAAGAGTTCATCTAATGACTCCATTTCTAGCAGGAACGTATGCTGGTTCAAAACTGCTTCCCAAGGACAAACGTGTATGCAACAATCCTCTTGTGGCTGTATGTGCCCATGGTGACAACAACCCTGTTACCTGCTTCCGTAATTGCCTAGTTGTACAACCGGCTGACTCCGCTGCCCTACAGGGAGAAAGGCTTCAATGGCTTTCTGTGTCAACAAAAGAAGTGCCAGGAGTGGCTCAAACTGTCACTCACAGCTGTTTGCCGGGGTTGAGAGAGCCAGCGTCGATCTCCCGGTCGAACTCGGTGCGGAGGTCATCCAGGGCACCGTCATCTCCGAACGCGCCCCACTCCATGTTCACACACATGCGGCCCTCATCACCATCCACCAGCTCCAAGTGCCGCATCTCCTCCATGTAGCACGCGTTGGTGCCTGTCCCTGTAAAATACACCTCATGTGTTTACAATGAAGATTACAGGTTGGTAGAGTAACATGTTGCAACATTTTTTAAGGAGCGCCTGGTTACATTTGTAACCAGTCGAAAATACCAGTGTCCTAAAAATGGCTGTTGGAAATAAATAAATGATTAAATCCTGACAGGCTTGAAAACTAGCAGTTTTGAAGTTCGACAGTTTCTACAATACATGAAAAGAACCACCCCATGCTGAGTAAAAAAGGGTTTGTGTGACACTTCAAACAGGGTTCCCACACTTTCTCACAAGCAGATTTCTATGAACTGCTTTATGCAGGATGAATATGAAATGATTGTATTATATTAAGAATTTTGGAGGGACTAGTTTCCTATTACATTTTTAACTTACCATTATGTACAAGTGTTTCCATTAAATTATCTGAAATTTAAATATGGCCAAAAAAACTTTTATCCTGAAGCTCCATGCAGAGCATAATCAGAAATGTACATTAAGTATATGCATTTTCATAACATAATGCCATAATATATAATACCGATACACATGCATAGTTTAAGTCTTAACATAGTTTAAGAATTATTAGCCCCCCTAATTATTAGACCGCTTGTTTTTTTTTTTTTTTTCCCCAATTTAAATTTAACTGGGAGAAGATTTTTTTTTTATTTCAACACATTTCTAATCATAATAGTTTTAATAACTCTTTTAATCTCTAATAACTGATTTCTTTTCTCTTTGCCATGATGACAGTAAATAATATTTTACTAGATATTTTTCAAGACACTTCTATACAGCTTAAAGTGACATTTGAAGGTTTAACTAGATTAATTCGGTTAACTAGGCCGGTTAGGGTAATTAGGCAAGTTATTGTATAACAGTAGATTGTTCTGTAGATTATGAAGAAAAAAAATAGCTTAAAGGGGCTAATAATTTTGTCCCTAAAATGGCTTTTAAAAAATAAAAAACTGCTTTTATTCTAGCCGAAACAAAACAAAAGACTTTTCCTAGAAGAAAAAAATATTATCAGACATACTGTGAAAATTTCCTTGCTCTGTTAAACATCATTTGGAAAATATTTTTAAAAAGAAGAAAAAAATTCGAAGAGGGCTAATAATTCTGACTTCAACTGTACACATTCAGACATTACTTTAGAGGATCGCTGGTGTCCTTACGAAGACATTTTACACTCACCGGCCACTTTTTTAGATACACCCCACTACTACTGGGTTTGGACCACCTTTTGCCTTCAAAACTGCCTTTGTGGCATAGATTCAACAAGGTACTGGAAATATTCCTCAGAGATTTTGGTCCATATTGACTGCAGATTTTTCGGCTATACGTCCATGGTTCCCCCATATCCCAAAGGTGGTCTATTGGATTGAGATATGGTGACTGTGGAGGCCATTTAAAGTACAGTGAACTCATTGTCATGTTCAAAAAAAACAGTCTGAGATGATTTGCACTTTATAGCATGTTATCCCACTGGAAGTAGCCATCAGAAGATGGGTACACTGTAGTCATAAAGGTATGGACATGGTCAGCAACAATATTCAGGTAGGCTGTGGCATTGGCATGATGCTCAATTGGTACTAAAGAACACAAAGTGTGGCAAAAAATATCCCCACACCATTACACCACCAGCAGAAGCCTGAATCGTTGATCCAAGGCAGGATGGATCCATGCTTTTATGCTGTTGACGCCAAATTCTGACCCTATCTAAATGTTGCAGCAGAAAACGAGATTCATCAGACCAGGCAACATTTTTTTAATCTTCTTTTGTCCGATTTTGGTGAGCCTGTGCAAATTGTAGCCTCAGTTTCCTGTTCTTAGCTGAGAGGAGTGGCACCCGGTGTGGTCTTCTGGTGTTGTAGCCCATCGGCCTCAAGGTTGGATGTATAGTGTGTGTTTAGAGATGCACCTTGGTTTTAACAAATGGTCACTTGAGTTAATGTTGCCTTCCTATCAGCTGGAACCAGTCTGGCCATTCTCCTCTGACCTCTGGCATCAACAAGACATTAGTGCCTACAGAACTGCTGCTCACTGGACATTTTCTCTTTTTCAGCTCATTCTCTGTAAACCCTAGATATGGTTGTGCATGAAAAGTCCAGAAGATGAGTAGTTTCTGAAATACTTAGACCAGCCTGTCTGGCACAAACAACCATGCATCGTTTAAAGTCACCTTTCTTCCCCATTCTGGTGCTCAGTTTGAACTGCAGCAGCTCGTCTTGACCACGTCTACATGTCTAAATGCATTGAGTTGCAGACATGTGATTGGCTGATTAGAAATTTGTGCTTAAGTTGGATGGGTGTACCTTATAAAGTGGCCGGTGAATGCATATTTATATTTAAATTAATTTTTAAATGAGTAAGACGTAGGGGAAAAAGAAAGAGTAGCCAAAAACTGCGTTACAACATTTGGCAACACGAAGCTGGACTTGAAAATTGCTGAACTTACAATTTGGCAGAAATATGTAATTTTTCAACTTTTGCAATTTGTCTCTTTTATTTGGTTATAGCAAGCAAACACCAGCTTTGGTTCACTCGTGTTTAGAATCAGATCATAGCAGCTTATGTGCAGATCTCTGTTTGTCAGTGTAGGGCCGTGGTGTTCAGATCGTGCAGTTGAGCATTTGTAAAATACACAACAAAAATAAACGTTTCTGATGCATACATATATGTTCAAATATTTTGTACTGATAATGGCAAGTTGCAATGTCAAGCAATAATAAATTACATGAATTGATTGCAGGCGCAAAAGACTCACACTTATGTGTGAGGACATCTCACACTTTTGTCATTATAATGTAGAAAGGAAACTGCTTTAAAAGCCAATATGATAAATAAAAATTGACATCAGTTTTAATATTTGCATCAGCTGTGCTTTATAAAATAACTTTAATCTAACAAAGATACAACGCTTATGTATTTTTCACAGAAGCCAAAAAATATAAATATATCATTTATATATATATATATATATATATATATATATATATATATATATATATATATATATATATATATATATATATATATATATATAAATATAAATATAAATATATATATATTAGTGCTGTCAATCGATAAAAAAAATTAACTAATTAATCGCACCTTTTTTAAAAAAATTATCGCGATTAATTGCATTTAAAATACTGAAACTTGTAATTTTGGCTATTCGAATGTAAAATTAATGTAAACGCAAGACAAAAACTATTTAAATTCAAAATATAATTGTTTATTAGAATTAAAATTTACAATATAATTGTTTAATAGAATTTTTGTTTAACTTGTAACACAGATTTCTTCATGTAAACAACATACCCACAATAAACCATCAAGATCCAGGCTTGACAGCCTTATTTATTACAGAAATTAAAACACAGGCATGTTAATGACATTTAAATTTCAAAACAATCAATGCCAATAAAGAAAACATTGATTTCCATGTTGGATTATAAGTGGACTGCAAAAAAATGACAAAATACAGGAATTGCAGATATGGAAAATGAAAAATTATAATAATAAACTATAGAATACAAACTGTTGCACTCATTGTAAAGTTTTATTGCTGTGAGTTGAGAACATTAGTTATAGAGTAGAAACAATTTTGCTTAATCCTCCTTTACATTCATCCAGTTGCTAAGACTAGGAGTATCCTGCAAGTGCACAGAGACTCCCAAATGCCCGCAAATGAATAATAATTTCTCGCAAACTGGTCATTAAATACATTGCAAACCCCTCTCCCCCGCATCCCTCCTAGCTCTTGTATATATATATATATATATATATATCTCAATCTGGTATATCTCTCATCCAATGGGGGGAGGGGGTAATAATTGAAATGTCTAGCCAAGTGTGAAGTAGTACAAATCCATCATTACCTCCTTGATAAAGCTGACGGTTATCAGTTTTCTTTGCTTTGCGTATGTGAACTACAACTAAAGCAGATAACAAAACTGGGAAGTTCATGCAAATGCCAAAGCTATTATGCATGTTGGGTGTGTCCGTTATGAGCATAATCCTGGTGACGAATACTACATTTCTGCCAAATCATTATTGTGATTGCGAAATCTCTTTTCATCTGTGTAGGTGTCTAAAAAGAGACCCATAAACTGCCTGCTCTACCAAATGGTTGACCATATTTTGACTTTTTTAAATAATGACTGTTAAAGTCATCTAAAGAATGACTGTTTTAAATAATGGCTTACAGCATTGCTGGTTTACAAAAATCAAACAACCATAATCCTGTTGCACTACTACACTTAATTTTTGGGAAAAAATAAATAAATAAAAACAAGAAAACAAGTTAAATGAGAATCTGAAATATTTTATGGCATACTTCAAAAAATAAAAGATGATTTAGTGTTCAAAAATGTTTTATTTTGATTATGTTTTTAAATAAATTGGTCGTACACTTCATATTTTCAAATTTTTTTATAATATATGCATGTATTAATTCTAGTACTTTTACCATAAACTGACATATCAATCATTTGGTAGAGACTAATATTTTTTAATGATGGTATGTGTTGAAAAAAAGATGTATTTAGTGTGTTAACTAGCGACATTAGGAGTTAAGAAATCCATTTTTTTTTTCTTGGTGAGACAGTGAAAGGGTTAAAGAGATCAATCAAGCAAAAAAAAAATTAAAATCTGCTACTAATTCAATAACCCTCCTGCCATCCCACAGACAGAATATGGTTTATCTTCAGTACAACATCAGAGAATATTTTATTGAAAATGTTTCTTAGATTCGTAGAATTAACATATATGGCTACAAGAATTTTGACATTCAAAAGAAGAACATGTTTAGAATGTATTGAAACAATAAGTTAAATTGTTCTATAATATCTAAATAGGCAGTTTGTTAAAAGTAGAATGTTTATTGGTGTAGTTTCACTCAAGAAAAAGTCATAGTAATGGTGTTCACACTAGACACGACTTCTGCAAACAAATCGTGCAATTGGCGCTTTAATAGATGCATGTACATTTCAAGTTTATAGATTCACA